CCCTGTATAGGGTTTCCGAGGGTGTAAATCTTTACGGGAGTAGAAAGCCTCATCTTTCTCCCGCGGAGCAGCTGGTAGTTTCGAACCGCTGACCTTAAAGTTCGCAGCCCGATTCGTAACCACTACACTACCAGATAGCAATGCACAATTCAATAAATGATGGAGAAAGACTCCTCAGTGATTCAGGAGGCAGCAAGTATAACCAAACAATGGTGATGTCCCAGGATGCTGCACGAGAAATTCCTGCTTCATACAGCATGAGCTCCAAGAGGTCTAAAGCCAATTTCAGTCATATGGTTGCCTTCACTTTCTTTCTAGCCATCAAATACAAAACTATAGTTTTGACTTTCCATTACATTTTTAACGCAAAAGAACATTTCCCCCCTTTTGATATATATTAATGTGTTCCCATATAGAGGGAAACATCTAAAAGGTGAAATGACTCTATTTACAATTTGTTTCTTGGGAACTTTCAGACATAAAACTCAGTTTTAACTTCAATAATAAAAAGGGTTTCAGGGTGAGGTTTAATTCAGGAGGGCCTTCAGAGTCACATCTGTCCATTTCTCTTTCGTGCATAAACCCCTAAACAGGCACAAATGCCTGTGATGCTAAGAGCCACACCTAACAAGAGAGCAATTGCATCTCCTGCTTCAACTGCTTCAACACCAGGCAGCACCAAAAGCAATGACATCAGGACCAACAGCAACTGTGTTGAAACTGAAGTCAGGATGCTGGCTTCTCAAGGTGAATGGAACTTGAGGCTGATGGTCCTAAAATAAAAGGGGTGTATATAGAAGTCTATCTGGTTTTTAAATTCTCCGTTGTTGGAGCTCCAGACGCTGCGTTAAGAGGTTCCACGCGACAACGCCTTTCACGAAGCAGCCATTACAGGAATCCCAGCTGTTTTTTTCAGCAAACTTTTCCCCCCAATTTTCTGTTTTTAGAAACATCTTCATCCCCCATTTAAAAGGTAACCAGTGCTGCACATTACAGAGCTTTTGGGGAGTTCACGTAATATAAATCTGTTTCTTAGCTTTCCCCTCTTTGGTTTAGGATTCATCTCTTTATTGTTAGCTGACTCAGGAAATTCCTGTTCATCAGTCTGCTTCCAGCAGCCACATTTTGTTGCTTTTGTTTCCTCTTGTTTGTGTCTTTGTGGCTTTAACCCTTAAAACAGTTGGTTTACACTGAGTTTAATGGGTCTGAGGGAAGAGTAAAGGTACATGTATGTTTTTTAATCTAGAAGTAACCAATGAAGTTTTTGTTTTTTAGGATCATTATAACATAGTTTAACATAACTGAATCTGTATTTTTACTTAATTGGTCTATTGTAGTTATTATTCTTATTTATTCCCTGTCTTCAGGGAGCTCTGGTATCATAGTGGTTATGAATTGGGCTGCTAACCTCAGGGTCAGCAGGTCAAACTACCAGCTGTTCCGCGGGAGAAAGATGAGGCGTTCTGCTCCCGTAAAGATTTACAGCCTTGGAAACCCTGTATGGGGTCACTATGAGTCGGAACCAACTCCATGGCACATAACAACAATAACATTCCCTGTTTTTGGCTAGTGAAACCCCTTTCAGATTGGTTTCTGAAGGCTTGTGATAAATCGACTAGTGTTTGACAGTTTCCTTGCTTTCTGGTGTGACATAATGTTCCAGGCTCATCCTGTATCTTTCCTTTCCCAGACATGTAAAATCAACATTTCTCCAAGGAGCCCTAGTTCCCTTTATTAGGAAATGGTCCTTACAGACCACAATATGGGTCCTTGGAACCCTTAAATTTTTGGAATGCATATTTGAAAAATGTCTTCAATGTTTTTATTTTTTTTATTTGACATCTATAATAATAGTCACTATTATTAATAGCTATTGCTTATATAGCTATATCAATATTTATTAGTTTCTCTGCTCACACTTCTCACATCCTTACTCCTTTCTTCTGAATTTAACTTCCTTCTTATTTAAATTTCAGCAGTGGTCCCAATAATGCCTGTTACAGCTTTTTTTCCTCCTGGTTGAGGATCCAGTTCAGGACCATGCATTGTGTTTAGTTGTGTTTATGTCTCAGTCTTTTTTAATATGGAACATTTCCTCAGCCTTCCTTTGTCTTTAATGATATTGTTAAAGAGCATGAACCAGATGTTAGAGAATGTCCTTCAATTTTGGTTTGTGTGATGTTTTCTCATGAAGAGCTTTTGTTGTTGTTAGTTGCCACCAGGTTGGTTCCAACTCAGATCTACCCTTATCCACAGTAGAAGCAGCACTCAGCCCTGCACCTTTCCTCACAATTGTTGGTATGTTTGAGCCTATTGTTGCTGCCACTGTATCAGTCCATTTCACTGGGCGTCTTCCTCTTTTTCACAGATCCTTCATTTTGCCAAACTTGATGTCCTTCTCCAGGGACTGGTCTCTCCTATAGCATGCCTAAAGTATGAGAGATGAAGTCTTGTCATCCTCACTTTTATGGAGCATTCTGGCTGCCCTTTTTTCAAGATAGATTTGTTTCTTCTTCTGGCAGACCATGGACCATTCAATATTCTTCTCCAACACTGTTATTCAAATGAGTTGATTCTTCTATGGTCTTCCTTATTCATTGTCCAATTTTCACTGGCATAGGAGGCAATTGAAAATATCACGGCTTGAATCAGGCACACTTTAGTTCTCCAGATGACATCGTCAAACCCTCTTTAAAGAGGTCTTGTGTGGCACATTTGCTTAATGTAATACTTTGTTTGATTTCTTAGTTGCTGCTTCCATGAGTGTGATTGTGGATCCTGGCAAAATGAAGTCTTTGAAAACTTCAGTCTTTTCTCCATTTATCACAGTGTTATTTGTTGGTCCAGTTGTTAGGAGTTTTGTTTTCTTTACATTGAGGTGCAATGTTTACTGCAGGCTGTGGTCTTTGACCTTCACCAGCAAGTATTTTAAGTCCTCTTTGCTTTCACTAAGCAAGGTTGTATCATCTACATGTCTCAGGTTGTTAAATGAGTCTTCATCTAATCCTGATCTGTGTTCTTAATGTAATCCAGTTTCTCGGGTTGTTTGCTCAGCATACAGATTGAGTAGGAATGGTGAAAGGACACAACCCTGTTGCACATCTTTCCTAATTTGAAATTATTTAGTATCCACTTGTCCTGTTCGAACGACTGCCTCTTGGTCTACGTAAAGATGAGCACAATTAAGTGTGATGGAATACCCATTCTTTGCAGTATTTTCCATAGTTTGTTATGATCAACACAGTGTATGGTGCTGTAGGATCAGCTCTAGACTGTGAACTGAAGGTTAACAGTTCAAATCCACCAGCTGCTCTTTGGAAGCCCTATACAGGGTCACTATGAGTTGGAACTGACTTGATGGCATTTAACAACAGCAACAAAGTCAATAAAACACAAGTAAACGTCTTTCTGGTATTCTCTGTT